CAAAGTACAGGATAGTTCTAGAAAGTAGAGGGCGTGGGAATAGTCACGTGATCTCGATGACGCAACAATGTAGATATTAATCTAATCAAAAACATCTTAGGTGTGAAAAAAATGTGCGGCCAAAAAAAGGATTGAGTGTGGGACTTAGAGGAATGAAATCCAAATTGGCGACCAAACTGGAAGATACACTCAGTGTTTCCCAAACTATGTTTCGCGGAACACTGGTGTTCCGTCCGAGATTGATAGGTGCTCCGTTAGAAAATCACGATTTTAAATTTTAATAAAATATTTAACACTTTTGTACTATCATAGCTTATCATGAAATATTTTCCCATGTATTAGAATTAGATAATATCGATTTTGTATTGAAGAAGAATTATAGAAGATGCCATATTTATTCTATATAATATCTTAGTGGAGAGGTTTGTATGTAAAATATATTCTAAGCATAAAAATGTAAAAATTCATTAATATGTAATTTGATCAAATAAATAAATGAATAATATACAAATCTAGATTGCGCTGCGCGTGCACACATACCCTCTACACGGATATTTCACGTATCTAGTGTTCTGGAAGCTTTTACTCAGTTGAAAAGTGTTCCGTGGCCAAAATAGTTTGGGAAACGCTGAATTATAGCATTCATAAGAATTTTACAGGAAATATTCATTCATTAGTTAGACAGGCCGCGTTTTTTGTTCAACTTGGGGCATGATGGTGGGTAAAACAAGGCAATCCATTAAAAAACGATTGGTTGTCATATAACTAATCAGAAAGTGCCACACCCTTATATAGTTTATGAAACAACAAGCAGTCATAGTATGTGTAGTAGAAGTAATCTTATTTAGTCGACATATAGTGGTGGTTATGAAGCTCGACTCGCAATCTGTAGATCAAGAGACCGAAATCAGTCGCCAAACGTAATCGCCATTTCAGCCACGAGAGCGTTATAATGTGAGAGCCAATACCACTAGTTGTTGATAAGTAACAGTTCAAGAGTTAGTGATTAATGTTGTTGACTAGCTGCCTTACCTCTAGTCTGCCAATTCAAAAATAGGTATGGGCCAAGATGGCTAACGCGATAGCCCTCAAGTATTTTGCGCAAAATTCAACAAACAACCAATTGATCCAATCATTCCCAGGACTGAAATATCGCATGACTACCGTGTGGAAATCAAAGTTTAGCTGGTCAAGGATACTTTAAACGAAAAATTATGCCAATACTTCATTTTTGAGTAATAGTTCTGTGCACAACGGTAAAGTAGCTACGTGAAACTGGCGCTGTTAATAGTAGAAGGCCGAAAACCTAAGTTCTTCAAAAGTGGTGTTAAAGAAGTCAGTGTTTTTTTATGATATAGAAGATCATCGAGTACAACTTGCTGTAAATACAGGTGTGATGTTTACCTCGAGAACTGTAAGATACACAATAGCACGAAGTGAACGTGCATCTGTTCGAAAACTGCTGCTGAGAAAAGGTAATCAAACCAAGGGTTTAAGATGAGCATTGGACCAAAGACAGTGGAATAAACAAATCTAGAGACATAAGCTCTTTACAGATGAACCCAACAATATCACTTTTTTCAGCAACTCTCGACGACAGTTTGTTCGAAGATAGAAAGGAGAACGGTATAATTATCAATGAACAGCATGCACAGAGGACACATGGTGGAGGATTGATACAATTTTGAGCTGCTTCTCAACCAATGGCATCAATGATATACACATAATTTATGGTGTCCAGCAAATCCTGTTCCATCATACCGTTTCATAAAGGCTACGACTCATTGGTCGGGAACTAATCTTCCAGCAAGACAATGATCCCAAGCCTACAGCAAATGTAATGGGAAAATATATTGACAGTAAAAAGTCTGATGAAACACTAATAACCATTGACTTAGCCTGCACAAAATTCTGATATGAGTATTCTTGAGATATAGGTTTATCTAAAAACTGAAAGAGTAAAAAGAGTTCAAACAACTTGGCTGAATTGTGAGAAGTAACATAATACCTTTGAACAAAAATCCACAGTCATACAATGATAAACTGTATAGCAACATGGAAACAAGATATACTGCTCCGTGTAAAGCAAAAGGTTCAAATATAAAATACTGTAGCATTATACAATTTATTCATTTTAGATTTGTATTTTCAACAATAATATTTGTAGCATTAATAAATTCACTATACTTTGCTGTTCTTCACTGATTGTGACTCTTGTTTGTGTATATATTATGTGTTTCCATAGTCATTTACATCACTGTGTGTATATTCTTAATGACTATTTTTGCTCAACAAATATATAAAATATTATTAAAATAAAATATAGCTACATCTTTGAATTTTAATGCTCGTTTACAATAGCAATCTAATTAATTTGATAAATTGTCTATAGATGGCGCTCAACATATCAAACTTACCTTGATGTACCATACCATATTATGGAAGTATTCTTTACAAGTCGTTTATCTCATTCCAGAACACATTAGGATATACGTTTTGTTTTAAGTTAGATTAAGTGTATAATCCTAGTATTTTTCTAGTTGAATCAATTAATTCTCAGTACTCGGATGTAATGCATAAAGATATAAATTTCCAAGACGAGAGAAAAATTGGGAAACATTCACACAAAAAATGAAATAATAACACAGTATCGACAAAGCGAAATTAGAAATGTATATATAAGTTTTACAATGTAAAGCATCAAATTATTTTATCTTTTAAACATTAAATTTGAAACTAATAGATTATCTTGGTTGAAATTTTAGCTTCGAAAATTTAGACAAAATATCATTCAGCATATAAAGCATGGATACACGTTGTCATAAATTGAGTTATGTGATATTTAACTGTTCATATTTCTATACAAGTGATATATTTATGTTTCTAGGTAGAAATAAGGATAGTACCTGAGAGGCATTTTATCAGTTAACACAACCTCAACTACATTTTTGTTTCCCGAGCAATGAAATAAGCGTACTCTAACGGCTTTGTAATATCAACTATTTAATATCAAATAAATTATATGACGAACAAGTCCATTCTTTGAGCAGAATTGATCACTTCATAAATGAGGAATCTTATTTTTCTTAAGATGCCTCGTGTAGTATTGTTAGTGAGTTCTGAATCATGTAATATTGTTAATGTGTACTGAATAACGTAACACTGTTAGTGGAATCTAAGTCATGTAATATTGTTAATGTGTTCCTTAATTTTCTTTACAGGGATATGGACAAACATTTTTTATTTCATTTTAATCCTTGTTCTTGAAACATCTCTCGATCATAAATCAACATAAATACTTATAGCTACTTTCCGAAGCCTTTTGTAAGATGATGATAATATCGTTTATTTTGGCCTGAACCTTTGATTTGATTTACTTTTATCAAAATGTTAATTATTTTTTGTGATTGTAAGCAAATACACCGACTTTTAGCAATGATTAACTCCTTAACAGTAAAGTCGGAGCCATATCTGTTGCTAAGCTACATACTTATATAGACCACCATAAAGTATTGAAGAATGTGAAAGATGTCATCTCAGATTGTAAAGTGGTGAACAACATTTATGGTTCAAGATTTTCCTGTGGGTCTCTCCTCTAACCACTATTTGGAACAATGTTCTAGCACTTGGTGGAGTGAGTTTCCTATGGGATTTTGCCATTTATTCACGGTTTCGAAATTAGTTTGAGGCTCCACGCGTGCTTTTTCTTCAGATGAAGAACTAGGAATCTAACCCGAAATGTCGTCTCGAAATTATAGGCCTTTGTGGAGTGAGTTTCCTATCGGTTTCTGCCATTTTTTCATGGTTTCAGGATGACGATTCAGGTTCCATGAATATAAACCGAAACGTCGTCTCGAAATCAAGAAAAACAAAGGAGAATTCAATAAAAAACTCATTCCACATGATGACAACACTGCTTGGGTGTTGATTCCAATACATAAAAATAAAGAATAATAAGGCTTAGCTACATGGGAATAAACTTTGTATGTGTTTTCAGTTCATAGCTTCGTCGAGGCCTTTCCTAACACAAAATTGCGAAATCATTAATCAAGTAAATATATTATGATCAAAAATAATAACTCAATCAGATTTCAGTTACTCTCATTCTCAATATTTATTGAGTGAGTTTTCAATTCTTCTCTTCAAAATCGGCTTTCTTCAATCAAAATAGAATACTGTCTGAATAAAGTTTCTATAAATACCTCTCACTTTTCATTTTATTTGTTACATTATATTCTGCTGTTAATGTAATGATAAATGATATTTTATTATTTTTGTAATCACTTTGTTCAATGCAATATTTTTAAAACTTTGTTTTTATTATATAGCAGCTGGCACGAAGAGAGGGACTGAAAGTATGCCCGATTGAGGTATTTTTCCTTATTCTCATATGTTATAATTTATATTTGTTTTTTTATGATTTATGTTAAACTTGCATAGTTTTCAGTGGGCGCTGGGGGTAATTGCCCTACTTATTCTTTAGGATCGGTTTAACTTGGACACTTGAATGATGTTTTATAATACATAACTTAGCATCGAACTCTTGTCACGATACAGAGTTTTATTGGATATCATTTACATGTAACGTTTTTTCCATCCCCGTAATTCCTCCAATGGTGAGTTCTTTTCTTGGAGTTAAAAAAAATGGTAACGGAATTGTTTTGGCTTAAAATGGCGATTGGAAATTTTTAGATAAATGCGTTTTTCTTTTCTTTCCATATTTCACTCATTTGTATAGTTTATTGACGTGGTAGTTTGAATTGTCAAAAAGTTTTGTTTTTATTTTCACGCAAAGATACACGAGGACTATTTGCGCTAGTCGTCCATAATTTAGCAGTGATAGACTAGAGGGAAGGCACCTAGTCAACACCATCTACCGCCAAACTCTTGGGCTAAATTTTTACCAACGAATAGTAGGATTGACAGTCACATAATAACCCCCCCCCCACCCCCACACACACACGGTTGAAAGGGCGAGCATATTCGGTGTGACGGGGATTCGAACTCGCGACTTGCAGATTGCGTGTCGAGCACCCTAATCACCAGGCAATGACAGGCAAAACTAAGAGTTGCTAACAAGTTACCCATTAGCTCAGCTAGTAGAACATGCGCTTATGCTTCGCGGGGTGTCGGAGTCTATGCTAATCGCATTTGATGGAAAATTTAATTGCCACAGAAAAACCGAAAAACTGAATTATGAAACTCCAAGAAAAATAATCTAAGAAGAATATGTATGTTAAAGAAATATAAAAAAAATGTAATGTATTCTCAACAACGAAACAAATATTGCTAACAATTATTGAAGTCGCATTTGAAGGAAACATGGTTTTACCTTCAAATATTCTTTAAAAAGTTGGATTATTTCCTCACGTCTTTACTCCACTTGTTCGTGGATGAGGACAGTATATAGTAATCTCTCTTTCATTCCTTGAATAATTCTGTTTTGTGTAAAATACCAATGTTACTTTTAAAAAAACATTTATGAAGATTGGTTGTTGTTGTTAAGTGCAAAACTACACAATGAGCTATGTGTGCTCTGCCCATAGTGGGTATCGAAACCTTAATTTGAACCTTATATTCCCTCGGAGTACCACAGAACCACCATTGCTGTAGGTTTTCAATGTACCGACGTGTTCCTCGTGTACTTAAGTAGCAAAATGTGTTCTTCAAACACCAGGGCGTGGCATGGTATGGTGGTTAGGGCACTCGACTGGCAATTTCCAGGTCGCGGACCCAATCTCGTTAACGAACATGTTCGACCTTTCAGTCGTAGAGGGCGTGAGGGTCAATCCCATTATTCATTGATGAAAAAGTAGTCTAGTTGTTGGTAGTAAGTGATGTTTACTAGCTGCTTTCCCTCTTGTCCATCACTTCAAAATTAGGGATGGCTAGCACAGATAGAATTCGAGTGGCTTTGTTCGGAGTTCAACAAACAAAGTAGCAGTCAAGATGTTTGTCAAAAAGAAGCTAAAAAAAACTGAAAAGTAGAAGAGCTGTATATGAAAAACGTTTCAAACACAAAGTTATTGACATTTTAGCTACGAAGCACTTCCTAACAAATTTGAAGTATTTAACAACACATGACAGAGTACATGTTGGAGTGTAAAGGTTTGTGTCAACGTTTTAATATTGTATAGTAATATATCCTGCTGAGACTTGGAGGCAAACAACATTCCAAGACCAGGCATCACTGCTAAAAAAGTAATGACTCGTTACATTGTATAGCCTGCTAAACTAACTGACAAGTCCTGTCTTTACTGTTGGTTAAAAAAAACAAACAACAATGATGCAATAAGTCTATGTGATTTGAAGGTAACAAGTATTTCAGTAAGACATTTCATTCTGATATAAAACGTTTTTATTAATTAAGCAGTGAACCTTATATCATCAGTTACACGTCAAATATTCGCCTACCTTGCTTCCTTCTTCTGGGATGAATCCAGTTAAATGTACGCTCTCTCTCTTCCGACACAGTACTTTATGTAGAACATTTACAGTTACTAGTTTATTTGTAAAAAAATGACTTATATAGCCAATACATGATGTAATAACGGATTTTGAATGAAGGAATAAAAATTTACATCTGTCTTTTTCTGGTCATCAACTTATTTTGTTCTTTGCAAAATATTATTCATCCCCTGGCGGATCAGCAGTCAGTTTACGGACATACAACGCTAAAATATGGGGTTCGATTCGTCGCGGTGGACACAGTAGGTATTCCAATGTGGCTTTGCTCTAAAACTAAACCAAAATGTAAAATATTATAATTGCATTGACTATGTTAATTTTGTGGAGAAAAAAAAACACAAGTAACGCACACAATATTTAGAACTTTGGGGGTACTTCCCCCCTTTTTTTTTACAAATTTCTTAAGGTCAGCAGAGTGAGGAAAGAAGATTTTCACCAAAAAACATGAAATTTTAAGAATATGTTTGATTTCGAAACGTTCATTGAATATGTTTACAATTGTTGCCGTGACTCTACTATTCGTGTTCACTGCTAGATTAACTGCGATTGGAACTACACGAATGGCTGGGACGACGCACTCACTCTCTGATTGCTCTTTTATTTACCAGTAATTATCAATGGGTTACATAGTATCTCTATAGTACTTCTTTTTTGCGAAACGATCGTTTTATGTGCTTTTAACGTCTATTAATAGTGTTTCATTCAGAAATTTGTGCGTGTCGTTTTTTTCTTCTTGCTACAGTTTTAACAAGTGATTTTTTGGCGTATTTTGCAACATATGATTTAGGTGAACTATGAAATACAGTTCAGGGTAAAAGATGTACAATCATACGGTGCCGCGGAACCAGTTTAAATTATTTTTGTTTTGTTTTGAATATCTTCAAGAATTTGTATTTGAGTAGAAAAAATTTTCGCAGTTAGTATTTTTGATACTTATTGTCCTGAGTCTAATAGGGTTAACAAAACAACCCCTTGACCGGTGAGAAATGAATTATGTGCTTAAAAAAATATAATATTTTGATTAGTGAGACAACAAACTATTCATATGTATCCACCTCCAACGTAAAACGCTAAGTGGCTTATCGCAGCAAGAACGTAAAGAGTGAGGCCTTATTCCACATTTTGATTACTAGTGATACGTAAGAGGATTATGTGAACTTTTTGTCTCACAACCTACGTTCCGGTCGGCTGGCAGGTCGCTTTAAATCCACGTTCAGACACGTTTGTGATGTCTTTAAAGAATTGTGCTCTGACTTAAACCTAGCCGAAATAACGAGTTTCGTCCCCACCTTTCATAATTCGGGCCTGGTTCCCCGAAGCATTACTATTGGCGGGATCACGTGCATTGACTAGAAAACCGGAAAGCGAGAGGTATAAACTGAACCACACACTCTGAAGTTCAGCCCACAGTGAGTTGCTAGAGATCCAGATCGGTCAAGGAAACCAGTTGTTCCTCTTAGTTTATGGACTGAGAATACAAGAGTATATTCGTGCTAAATCAGGAGTGTTCTTCTCTTGGTCAAAATAGACCGAGAATTACTAGGACAGACAATCTCTAAACGCTGACAACATCCAGAAGCTTTTCCTTTCATATTGATGTATTATAATATTCTATTTGTTGAATGCGGAAGTTCTTGAAATCCCAGCCCTCAGCCCATCTTTACTTCAATCACCCATGAACTCACCAACTCCCACTTAACGAACAATTGTAAATGTCGCCCGAGGTCACTGAAGGGTTCATCTACTAGCTCTGCCCGCCGTGACCTCTCGTCGTGAAATATTTTAGTCACGCTTAAGCTTCATTACTGTGTAAACCGGTTCCTAACGGGACTGAAATACGAAGAACGTTGGAAAAGAAAGCCAGTTTTGTTTTATTTTATTGGTGTTAGGTTGGACGAAAAATAGGAGAAAGCGGAAAATCTAGTAAATATGCCGAAAAGTTCTAAAGTAAGTATTAGTCCGATTATATGTATGTTGACAATATAAGCTCGTCTACTTGTATTTGAGTCATTAATGGGTTTTGTTTGTAAAAAGCACTAACGTTAGAAGAACAGAGTAAAGTGATCCATAAAGATGAACCGAGTGCCAAAGTCCCTGTTACAGTATACGTAATGGATGAACTAACCTTACAATTGATGCATTTTTGAAAGCAGAACACAGTATGTTAATTTATTATTGGTCAATATCTCTGAAAAAGGTGTATTTTTAGTTAAATGGCTTTAACTAACACTTTCTATTAGTTCTTTACCTAATTAAACGATAAGGACCGATTTTTGATTTGATAAATACTACAATTGATCTGGAAAACATTAAACTTGCAAGACCAACCCGAATTATATTCCTAAACTGAGTTTATGATTTGAAAAAATAGTAACTTAATGTATTTTTCGGTAGAATCAAACATGCACGTGGTTAACAGGAGATAATGGCGTAATGATGGATCTTATATATACTTATCAATTAGATACAAAGAGAAAGCCCCCAGTGGCACAGCGGTATGTCTGCGGACTTACAACGCTAGAAACCGGGTTTCGATACCCGTGGTGGTCAGAGCACAGATAGCCCTTGTGTAGCTTTGTGCATAATTTAAAAAAAACATACAAAGTGAAAAGTTCTATTTAGAGAAGGTTTAAAATAAAGTTTATAGAGTTTAGACGAATTTCGTTGTAGACATTGAAACGAGCGTTGAAAGTCTGTGTATGGCAAACGTTTCGGAAGGTGGTATTTATTGCAACATAAACGTGTTATTTCAGAGAGTTCATTGAAACTCTGAAAAATGAAATAAATAGTCAATAATTTATGAAAACAGCTGTAAAAGTCGATTTGGAATGTGACTTTTATTGTTGTACCTATCTTTGATTTAGTTCATATTCTACATAACGATGGTAAATATTGAAACGATAACAAGAGTTTATATTACCTTTCGATCTGTTTGTGTATCTAAATAATACTCGAGTGTATTGTTTGCATTTCTAAAAAATCTACGTTGTCAAATTCCTAATTTTACAATGTCGCACGTATTCAAATATAAATCTGAAATATATATAAGTTCACATTTTCCTTTTTTTTTCATTAATTTTTTATCTGTTTACGCATCTAACTTCTATTTTAATAATCTTACACCAAAAGTTTAAGTATAAAATCATTTTCCCTTTAGATATATATAGAACGTTATGTCCTACAGTTGGTTGGTTGCTTAAATTGCTTATGATTTACAGTTAATTTGTTCTTAGTTCACACAGTTCGAGCGTTAAAATGATAAATCTGTTAGAGCAGTGGTTCCTAAGCTTTTTTACTCCATGCCTCACCTCGACACCTCAAAAAATTTGATGCCCCCTTAATATAAAAACAAATTTGGTGTTGAAAAGGTATAATAATATAATGTAAAATTTAGAATTTTAACTTTGAATCACAGAACGTTTTTCGCTCTTCACACCCAAATGAAATTTTTTTCGTTATTGTAGCATTTTCAAATTGCTCCCCCCCCCCCCGTGGGGCGTTCACCCCACGTTCAGAATCACTGTGTTATAGCGTTTTGAGCTTCTGAAAAGGTCTGAGTTTGAATCATTAGAATTTAATAAAAATAAACTGTTGGCTGTTTTCAACTTTCACAGACTGTCTTACAAGAACTTGAACTGCTTTGTTGTTATTCGCGTTCCAGCTGTCGTTCTGCTCCTTCGGGCACTAGACACATCTGCCGGAAAGAACCTATACACATCTGCTACCTGAGGACGAGATTAACGCTCAGTTCAGCAGCTTGAATCATTGACGTCCAATGGTATATATATATATATAAAGAATCACAACAGATTAATATAAGAGTAAACATATGCATCACTGGTTACATCATTTTAAATTGATCAACTTTGGTGGCTAGCTAACGTATATAATAGACATTCTAAAACAAACAATAGTGTTAATAGCCATCAACAACTGGCTATGACGCATTCTTGGGAAGTTCTGGCTTATGAAGTCACAAGAAAAAAGATGATAACGGCATATTTTATACCAGCGATTGTTTTCAGGTGATGCCATTGCCACCTGCCAAATTCCTTAATCCAGGGGTTTCCAAACTGGGAGCCGTAGCAAGTACACAAAATATAGAATTATATTAAGGTACTCAGTATTTATAGATTTATTGAGTGGGGAGGGGGGCTTCAGTTATGCTGTGGAATGTTCTGGGGGGGCCTCTGTGCTGAGAAAGTTTG